CTGTTCCTTCCCTGAGAACGGAAAGAGGCAGATGAGCAGTGTAGGGAGGCCTGCTTAGGCCTTTCTTTGCTGCTTACACCCTGTGCTGTCTCTGGAATAATTTCCAGAATGGGCCTGGACTAGAATCATTCACTGGTACCTCTTCTTCAGTCCTTAGCTTAGGACCCCTTTTGTATCTTTGAAACACCCCTCTAGCTGTAGACCCAGGTGGCTTTATAGTTAACCTCTGTTCACTTTGTTTACACTTCCCTGGGGCATTCCCCATCTTCTGTCTCTAGCTGCTCCTACCCTGGGTGTCCCTGAACTCCTGTAAGCTAAGGACCTGATCTTTGTGTTCCCATGTACTCTTAGAATATTTTATTTTGTATTTATTTTTTAGTTACACAATACCTTCATTTTATTTATTTATTTTTATATGTTGCTGAGGATCGAACCCAGGGCCGCCGCACATGGGTGAGGAGAGCGCTCTACCACTGAGCCACAACCCCACCCCCTCTTAGCATATTTTATTTTACTTGTATTTAACTTTCCTGCTTATGTGTCTTTTTCCCCCAGTAGACTGTTTCTTCTGGCAAGGAAGATTTCTTCTTCATTTTTATTCCTCTTGGGTCCAGTACAATGTATACTAGCACATAGTGGTGTCTCAATAAATGTTTTTTGAGGAAATTCATACACATTATAGTTTTGTATGGTTCCTATGGGGCATTCAGCCACACTATAGTTGGTTAAATTTAGAAAAATAGGGCATTATGTCTAATCTACATTCTGTAAGAAATTCCAGAGTGACTTCACAATTAATTGTTATCTACTTCTTGAAGACTGTTTTTAAAAGTATCAGTTTTATTATCAGATTATTACCAACCAACATATACTGCTAATACTGTGAACTGTGGTTGTATAAGAAATTAGAATTTCATAAGTAACTTTTCTCATACTTTTATAGTTTGCACAAATATAGAATCAAGATATCTAACAAGCGATTTAGGTTTTCCATGGTGTAGTTATCCCCTCTTCCTAGTTGTGTTCCTCTTTGTAGATAACTTCACTTATACCAACCACCTGTTTTAAAATCGCCTTTGTTTCTTGCCTACTTTTATTACTGACTTCCTGTTATGAAAAAGGAAAAGAGTGACGTTATTACTGACCTTTATCACTATAGATGTTTAATAGGTATCTGTGTCTTATCGAGAAGCATTTTTTAGGTTGTTCATCTGTGTTTCCAGACCTTAGAGCCCAGGGACATTCTGGGACTCTGAACATGTGCTCTACACCACACATAAAGAAGCATTTGGTGATCTATAAGATGATCTAGTAAAACACATTATAAATTTCATTTTATCAGCAAATCCTTAATTTTGTGAGATTGAATGTATTAGTTTTCTAGGGCTGCCATAACAAAATCCACAGACTTGGTGGCCTAAAAAAACAGAAATTTATTTCCTTATGGATCTGGAGTCTCAAAGTCCAAGATGAAGGTGTCATCAGGGTTGATTTCTTTTGAAGGCCCCTCCCTGTGGCTCATTTTCCAGTGTCTTCACAGCTTTCCCCCATGCCTGTCTCCTACTCTCTTCTTCTAAAGACATGAGTCACATTGAATTAGGACCCACCAATACAACCTCATTTCACCTTACCTCTTCAAAACCTTTATCTCCAAATATAGTCATATTCAGAGACTCTAGAGGTTAGGAATTATGAATTCTGGGCAAAATTCAGTCTATAAAATGGAATAAAATGGCAGCTTAAGTTCAGATATTAAAAAAATTCTTTAGTTGCACTTTTCAATAACTATTGAATAAATATATATATTTTTTATCTTTGCCTTTTCATAGATCCAAATGCTGCCTTTCTTTATGCTCATAATTTTATCTGTGCTAGTTTCTTGAAACCATGGTCTCCCCAAAATAGTTGGTGAGGAAGAATGCTGGGCTCTATATTCGTCAGCTTTCTGTCACTGCAACAAAATACCTGAGATAACAAATCAAAAGATGAAAGTTTGGACTGGGGATATAACTCAGTGGTAGAACATTGACTTAGCATTATAAGGCTCTGGGTTCAGTCCCCAACATTGAAGGGGACAAGGTGCGGGTGGGAGATTGGGCAGATAGATTTGCTTTGGCTCACAGTTTTCAAGATATCAGTCCATGTTGTCCTTGTTGCTTTGGCCTGTAGCAAAGCAGTCATGGTAGGGAGCAGGCCATGGAGTAAAAGTGTTTATCTCATGGCAATCAGAAAGCAAAGAAAATATGGAAGGGGCCAGGGTCCTAATATTCCCTTCAAGGGCAGGTCCTCAATGACCTAACTTCCTTCCACTTGACCCTATCTCCTAAAGGTTTCACCACCTCCCAACAGGGCTATCACTGGGGACCACACCTTCAACATATGAGACTTTAAGGGACATTTGCGATTCAAATACTAACAGGTTCCTCTTTTGCAATTCTGGGATAGAGTTCTTTTAGAAAACCAAAGGGAATTTCTTGGATACTTTCCTCTAAAATAATGAAAATACTATCATTAATTGAGTGATTATTTTGGGTGAATCATTGTATTATAAGTGTCTCCACAAATTTGCAGAAGAGATACTGTTATCCTACTTGAAACATGAGGAAACTGAGTGTCAGAGAGAGAGTACCTTGCTGTGGATACTTCTTATTTTGCTTTTCTTTTTTAGGGCACCTGTTTGGTGCTAAAGGAATATTAGTTTTGACATTAGAAATGTGGGAAAGAAGTGAAGTGTATAGCAAGCTCTTGGTGGCAGTCTGAGACCTAAGAGTCCCGGAAGCTATGGATCAGTAGCTCTAATGAGTGAATTGCACATGGGTAGAGGTTTGAAGATAGCATCCTCTACTTCCTAAAATGGGTTAATTGACTTTGGGTTACTTTAGCCAGGAGCTTTGTATTATGGCCCACATTGGATTGCATAGCAGTTGTCATGGCAACTCTGATTCAGAGTCAGGCTTGAAAGAAAGGTTGAAGACAGGCAATGTGAACCTTAGGAAGGTGGATTACCAAATATACTGTATGATAGGATTATGGGAAAGTGTTACTGAAGACAGGGTGGAATGAGTTACACCAGTGATTCTCCTGGCTGACTCGGTTATCAGAACCACCTGGGGAGCTTTCAGAAGCACCACACCTGCATTTCAGCCTAGAGATCTTTATTGAGATGGGTAGGCCTTGACATCTGTGGTTTTAAACAATTACCAGAGTAAACCTGATACATAGCTAAGGTTAAGAATTAACAACTTAGGCCAGGGGTTAGGTCTATGGCCTAAGGGCCAAATCTGGCCTGCTGCCTCTTTTTGTATGACTCATGAACTAGGAATCATTTCTACATTTTGAAATGACTGAAAAAAGTCACAAGGAGAATAATATTTTTTGACACATAAAAGTTATATGAATTTAAATTTCAATGTTCATAATTAAATTTTACTAGAGTGTAGACAGGCTTATTTACTTACGTATTATCCGCTCTCCTTTCACACCAGCAGAGCAGAGTTGAGTGGTTGTTATAAAGACCATGTGGCCCAGGAAACCTAAACTATAGAGGTTATGACCCTTAACAGAAAATGTTGCTGGCCCCTGAGTTAGGCTAAATAGAGGCTATCCTCTTACCCTAACTTAGAGTTGGTTTAGAACTTTAAAAAGAAGCAAAAAGAGGTTCCTGGATCTTGTTTTGTGTTTCTGTAGTGCATTTTGCATTTTAATTTCCTGTGGGTTTTTTTCCTGCCTAGTTGAGGGAGTTTGATAGATGGATCAGTAGCAAGCATGTTCAACAAAATTTTTATGAAACAGAACTGAAATATTCTTATTTCATCAAATCACACAAGTATAAACAAGTATAAAGAATATAATATTCATAGAACTAAGTGACCCAGGCCTTTTTAATAATTCACGGAGGATCTCCTAAGTTTTTTCTAATATCCATTTCCTAGCCCTTCTCAAACCCAATCCTTTTTTTTTCTTTTGTCTTTTTCCCATCCTTTTGTTCTACATTTAATTAAAATCAGTCCCAGCTGGGCACCTGAGAGCATAGTCTATCTTGTGATTGATTCAAGGATGGGAAAAAGAGGACAATTTTTATAGAAATGATTGTAATATAAAAAGTTAGCGGAGAAAGATTAGGAAAATACCACTGATTGTCATGTTGGCATCAGAAAACAAGAAAAGCATTAAGGTTAGGAAAATGAAAAATGACTGAGAAAGAGAAATTCCTCATCAGGCTGTTTGTTTAGTACTGAGAAGCAGGAACCATTTGCTTCCAAACCAGCCTGCCCAGTTCAGAATGGGAGAGAGTGTAATTTTATGCTTGGGTGCACCACTTTAGTCCTTTGCTTATTTTGTTTTTACTTATATTTTTTGTAGTAATAATGAATGGGGGTGGGGGAGTCAAGAGATTAATATATATTAGTTTTGTAAGTGTGTGATGTCATGGATATTTTTTAAAATAGTGAACGTCTATCACTTGAACTGACAGGAAAAATATTTGATTTCCAAATAGTTTATTATCCATCATTAGATGATCATTTTTAGTGACCTTAAGAGTCTCCCTGTGACACTGCTTGATGTCCTGGGTATTATAAGTGAGACCACAATCATGTTCACATGTTCTGATTTTTATCCTGCTCTTTCTCCGTCCTTGTGAAGTGGCTACAATCCCAGGCATATTTACCCTCCAGCCACCTGGAAGGAAGCCAGTAATGTCATTACAGATGGGAGTGTGCCCAGGCTATCTTAAAAAAACATTGTCTCTGTTACTAATTAAAGTTTTAGGAAGGGCGATGTTCGCTTTTATATTAAGCATTTGGGAAAGGCTGAGGGCAGATATATTAGAAGCAGTATTCTTGTTCCTAAATCATGGGTAAATTAAATTGTCCTATAGCTTACCTTCCCCTAGGTTTGGAACCTTATCTGTTCAATGACGGAGGGTAAAAAGTAGGTAATATTTGTAGATTTTGTGTTTAGTCTTTGGGGCTTAATTAACTTTCCTTTGCTTTTTATAGGGTTCTGTACATTGGCCTGGCCTGCAATACAGCTCGCTATATTTATATTTCCTACCTGGAAAATGCCTGGACTGTCCTCCCCATGGAAGTTCTTCAAGGTAAGTTAACTGCTATAATTAGAATTATTTCTCTACTTAACCAAGCAATGTGGCCTTCAGCATCTGACTCTACAAAGGAAGGGTGGACCTGCTGTTTTGAAGTGATTGTTAAGGAAGAGATGACGTCAAAGGGCTGGCTTTTCAGTTACCCTGAGTGCAGTGCTGCATTGAGTCAAACAGATCTGGATTTGACCCACACCCTTGTGACTAAACAAAGAAAGAAGAACTCTAGAAAATAATCCTATATATAATTGTTATGCACAGGCATCTAAAGGTGGTTTTAAAATGTAAAAGTATTCATTTTTCAAAAATTTAGGTGTCTTTGTTTTTTTAAGTTAACTATGTTTATTGAAAAAATATTGTCATAATTATTTATCTCTTCCATTATTTTTATTATATCTAGTGGTTTATGTCTAAAGCTTTATAGTCACATTATTGTTTTTCCATGAACCTCCTAAGTCTTTGCTCAGATATCCTGACCTGAGTTCCTCCCTGGCTTCACTACACTGTTTCCTATCAAGATAGAACTGAAAAAATTTCTAGGAGACTCATTGCCATGTTAGCTCATATAACTGGATTCTGAAAACTACTGTTAGTACCTTGGCTGTCCTATTTATTGATTGGCATTGTGATTAAAATACAGGCTCAAGACAAGATCATTTGGAGTTGAGTCTGCTGTGACAGCCCAGGTTCCTAAATCAGTAATTGGACCAGACAGCATGGAGTTATATATAATTTCGTTAGCTTTATTAAAGATTTCCATTATCTTTTTTCCTAACTTGAAGGATGTAAATGCATTTTAATATAATTAATTTCTTTTCATGATTTTGATCTTTTAAGATGAAAGATTTACAACTATATGTCTAAATAGAATGTATAAAATATGCTGGGCATGGTGGTGCCTACCTGTAATCCCAGCTACTCAGGAGGCAGAGGCAGGAGATCTCAAATTCCAAGCCAGCCTCAGCAACTTAGTGAGGCCCTAAGCAACTCAGTGAGACCCTGCCTCTAAATAAAAACATTAAAGGGCTGGGGATGTGACTCAGTGGTTAAGAGCTCCTGGATTCAATCCCTGGTACCAAAAAAAAAAAAAAAGTAAGCTCACTCATTCATCAGATTACACCATAGCAATGAGAAAAGAACATCCCAATTTAAATGAGATATAATTTATATTTATATTAAAATTATAAAATTTAAAAATATATATATTAAGGATAGGGAATGTAGCTCAGTGGTATAGTGCTTGCCTAGCAAGCATGAGGACCTGGGTACAATCCCCAGTACTGTACCACCAAAAAAAAAAAAAAAATTTTAAAGGTGCTTTTAACTCAGGAAATTATACTTCTATGGTATAATTGGTAAAAGGAGATTTATATATAAATATATAGAAAATTGAGCATATAAGGAATTATCATATATAATCACTAGAATTCTAGAAGGGTCTTGAGGCATACTTGTATTATATCATTGAAGAATAACAAAGAGCTAAACATGAGCTACAGGAAGGAATCTTGCAATAATAAGCCATATGCAACCCAGTTCTTAGTATCTCACTTCTATTTCCTGTTCTCTCCTTGTCTGGCTTAATTGCTTTGTTTATTGGTATGTCACAGTGTACAGACTCTATAAAAAAGATCTGTGTGCCTATGAAAATATATTTTGCAATAACTATGTATATACTTTCTTTCTCCTTTTAATTTAACATGAATTAGATAGAAAAGTTTACATAAGATACTGAAGAGAAAAGAGCATTCATGAAATGGTTTAAGGAGCAACGGAAGAATTTTATAAGAAGGAAAAACAAATGCTATTTTGAACTTAAAACCTCTTTTCCTGTTAATTTATCAGATGTATTAAATGGCTACTAGGAACCAGGCAGCATGTGGGGTACTAGGAATGTAATAAAAAAAAAATTAACTCATGCCCCAAGGTCTCACCATCTGTTCTGGAAGCCAGATGTGTAAACATATAATTACTACACAGTGTGTTAGATGGAATCATAGAAAAATGTGCTAGGTAACAGACAAGGAGCTTGGTGGAGGAAATAATTGGCTTTGTGAAGTCGAGAGTGGGTGGATGAGGATTTTATTGAAAAATTCCCTAAGGAAATCACATACAAGCTGGGGATTGAAGAGCTAGTAGGAATCCACGAGGTAGCCTAAAGAAAGCCAGCATTCTGGGATAGGGAAGAGTGCTGTATGCCAAAACACAGAAGTAGAAAGCACAGCAGGACCTCAGGAGCACAGGTGGTGTGCCACAGCTAGGGCTCCATGGAGTTATCATCCCAAACTGCGGACCTGGGCTGTGTTTTTACAATGCCTGTATATACCTCGGGGTGTATCATCCCAGGATTTGGGGGCCTGGCCATGTTCTGAATCTAAATAGGAATTCTGCTTCGTGTCACCAGCTGCAGTTTATACTTACATATTTCATTTTATTCTCTTGTTCCAGGAGAAACTTAGTTACTGATTGAAGCAAGAGAAAAAGGGAGATCTGTAAATGCATAGTTTCCTCCTCCAACAGAGGGCTCTGTGACCAGTTTCCACAGAGCTCATTGTTTCTAAAACTGGAGGAGATCATTTCATTCCTTGGCAGACTGAATACTGAGTATTTGGCTGTACAACAAAACCAAAATTCCTTCCTTTATTTGACCCATGCGCACCCCACGGAAAGCAGTGGATCATCCCTGTGGAGTCAGTCTTGCATCACAGGATACAGTTTGGGCTGAAAAGATTTGTTTGAGTGGTCTTGATTATGTTGCCTTTACATTGTTTGTCCAAATGACATTAAAGTCCCCAAAACAACATGGAAACTAATACTGCCTAATGCGCAGCTGAAGTGGAGAAGACAAAAGCTGTACTGTGTTCTGTATCACCAGCTACCCATCTATTCCTCTTTGGAGTTGCATGAAACTCATGGTAGAAAAATCCCTTGTTTTCCTTGATTTCTTGAAGTTCTTAATCATCCTGTCAACATTCTCTCATTGGGCTATATTAACATTAATTAGCATTTGGGATGCAGAAAAAGGGAAATTTCTCCTCTTTAGACCCATAGGGAAGAGGCTGCGCAGATCTATTTGGGGATCAAGGTATGACCATTATGGAAATGTGAGGTCATTTCTTTCTCTAATCTTTCTCACATTCAGTGGCCAGTGATATCTTGCAGCCTTATCCTTTTAGCAATTCAGCTAACATGTTATTCAGTAGGCAACTAGTGGCATAAGGCATATTTCCTGCCCATAAGGAGTCTATATTTTTGTTTTTTAAGTTGGATCTAAGTACCATCCCAGAGGTGGCAGGATTAGTTTTTTATTTCTCCAGATCTTATTTTAAAAATTCATGGAAATTTTACCTTTACTTTTGCATAAGAAACATTTGAACATTTATGGTTATGATCAGGAATGTAAACATTTGATAAAAATAAAGCTCAAATTTGTTATACTTCTTTCCTATGTGGGTACTGATTTTATAGTAAATCTTTGCAAAACTCAGAAAAGAATGTGATCAAAATTATTCTGGTTATTAAAATATATTTAAGGAGAGTAAGTCCACCCCAGGGAGCTGCTATAACTAAAAGGTTACTTTGAATTACTTGAATTAATGACTTTAGTGTTGACAGAAATGAAGTCCAGGTCATCTCCTCTCTGTAGGATATTTTCCCAGTGGGGATTGGGTTACATTTTTTATGAAAGATGGTTTTTTAATGTCACCAGTAGGAGGGCCTGAGCTGACATTTATGAAGCTTTATTCTGTTTATATAGCATGCCTCTTCTGCTAAGTAAGACCCATGTTTTCCTTCCTCTTAGGTTCTTGAAGAACATAGAAAATTATAAGAGGATTACTATGTAGTCCTTATCTAACAGTAGGAATTCTAGACATGATCCAATCTGTTATTATCAGGTTGAAAATTTTCTGTGTGGCTTAACCCTTAAAACACAGTAGTTTGCTACATGAACACCTAAGATAGACAAATATTCTAAGTTAAGCATTTCAATTGATAATTGGCACACAAAAGTCGTTGGTATGACTGTTAAAATTAACTTTTAATCAGAATAGTTTTAATGATTTTTTTGGTATCAAGGAGTGAATGCAGCAATGCTTAACCACTGAGCCATCCCCTAGCCCCTATATATAATAAAAATATAATTTTTATGACATTATATATATATGTACATATATATGGATATATTTTTAATTTTGAGAGAGCACTTGCTAAGTTACTCAGGGCCCTGCTAAGTTGCTGAGGCTGGCTTTGAACTTGAGATCCTCCTGCCTCAGCCTCCTGAGCCACTTGGATTACAGGCATGTGCCACCACACTCAGCTAATAATTTTATTCTTTGTTGCCCTTGTTTTATAGTTGATAAAACTAAAACAGTTACAAAAACATTTTCTTCAAAAAGAAGTTATTTTTTCCATTTAGTATTCATTTGATGAAATGTCTTTTGGTCCAATCATCCTTTTCTGGCATCTGTATGCCCCACTGAGCTCTCTTTTTCTGAATTGTTCTCACATTTATGGACTATGTTGTGTAAGTTAGCACTTAATAGCACTCAAGTCGTTTTGCAAATACTAGTTTTGTTGCCTTGTTTAACCCCTTAAATACAAAGTCCACGCCTTACACTTTATTTCTCCTAAGAGTTATGCTTATACAAAGATATGTTATAATTGCTTGTGATTTATTGCCCCTGTATCTGGTACTGTACTTGATATTTTCCAGTTTTTAACCCTTGTGAATAATGAAGTTCTATCTGAAAATTTACAAATATCTGAAGAGATTTTGAAAACAAAACTTAAATCCTATATTTTCAATATCATATTTCTTTCTAGAATAACATCTTGCCATCTGTGGCATATCTGTAAAAACACTGGTATATTTTAATCATTTACTCACTTACACTCTCACCTCATTCCATAGGCTTGTTGAGGCAGTTTACAAAAATATACAATAACCTGGAAACCATAAAGTACTTAGGCTTGAATTAGACCATCTGGGTTTGAAT